TATCGTATCAGGTTAGAGTTAGTCAAGTTGAGATGTGCCTTGACTGACATGTTACATTGAACAAATAGCTCTTTTGGAGCAGCGTTGACTAACGTGTTACACTGAACAAACAGCTCTCTTGCAGTAGCCTTGACTAACATGTTACACTGAACAAACAGCTCTGTTGCAGCAACCTTGACTTGCATGTTATAATGAACAAATAGCTCTCTTACAGCAGCCTTGACTTGCATGTTATAATGAACAAACAGCTCTGTTGCAGCAACCTTGGCTAACATGCTACACTGAACAAACAGCTCTCTTGCAGCAGCCGTATAAGGAACCTTGTCTGTCCAGATCAGATGTATTCTCTTCGACAGAAAGGCAGGTACAGAGACTGATGATATTTTTCTAAAAGAAAACTAAGCTAATATAGCATCTTTGTAGCATTCATTAAGTACAATCTGTGTTATACGGGGAGCACAAATATATGGTAAGATACTGGTAAATGGTCAATATCGACAACAGCTGACTAATGGCATTGTTGTTGAGTGGGTTCTTTATCACTTAAATTATTAGTTTACATTAGTTTCTTTTGGTTCTAGTGGATGTCACTAGGTTGGTGAAAAATAATTCCAAGGTAGGAACTTTATAAGTCTTTTAAATAACTTAGCTAATAATCTTCTACTATCCAAGACGCGACATATCAAGATAAGTTCTTTCAATAACTTATACACCGTGACTGATCTTCTAATATACCAAACGTGACTTAACAAGATAAGTTCCTCCAATAACTTATAGAGCGTGACTGACAATCTTCTATTATACCAGGGATAGATTTGTTAAGTGAGGTGTAAACCATGACTGATAATTAACTTATGGTTATTACAACTAAAGAAAACGTGCAATTTAATTGAAAAATCAACAAAATATCTGATATAGCTATTTTGGCATTCATAAACATTGAGCGTTTCTTTAAAAATGGCAAAACACGTTAAAGTAATAAATATGATTGATTTTATACAACAATCACGAGAGGGCGGTAGTTAATATTCCAGTAATGCAATATTTGACGATAGAGGAGAAAGCACGCCTAGGAACAGACGACAGTGTGTAAACTTTTCAGATTTGTTGTCTGCAGTGCACGTTCCTCCAGAAACAGCATAGCAACTAATCCTGAAGAAACAGCATAGCAATTAAATTTCAGCAGATTTATTTGCATACGTCACTTCGTCTCAAACCCCTATATGCAGAATTTACGGTTGCAACTTGTTATCCTACTATAGACGTGTGTAAAAATGCTGCCATTACCAAAAAGTGACGACTAAATCTCATTACTGAGTCAGAGAAAAGTAGTTGGCTGTGGGTGCTGTTGATTAGCTTCCTTTCCGCCTTTATCAGTTCAAAATTATGGATGACAATGCACGATAGTACTTTGTGTAGCTTTGCGCGAAAATTCTGAAGCAAAAAACAACACTGCAATTTACCCAGTGACAACGCTAGAAACCGGTTTTCGATACCTGTGGTGGGCAGAGCAAAGATAGCCCATTGTATAGCTTTGTGCTTAATTACAAATAAGCAAGTTAACCCAAATATTCTAGCATTCCCATTTTTTTCTTAAAAATGATCAAATAAAACTATTTCTTGCAGCATATCGTATAAATAGGTTTAATTATTGCTATGGAAAAAAAATGAGTTTATTTAATAAGAGAAGATAAACTTGTAAAAAAACACCGACAACTTCAGATAATAAAGATGGTAAAAATCATGTTTTTTCTTCAATATCTGTGAAAGAAAAACTTTTTTTTTCAAATTCTACAAAACATTACGGTTCTTTTAACCCATATCTAATCATATATTTTAAACTGCTGTAATCCTCTGTGTTTTGACGTATTTGCAATTACTGTAATCTTCAATCATGTTTCACATGGTAGGTCAGCGATAAGTTTACGAACTTACAATGCTAAAATCGGGGTAGTTGATTCCCCGCGGTGGACAGAGCGCAGATAGCTTGTTGTATAGCTTTGCGCTGAAAACATTTAACAGATAAATTCATGGTTTATTATAGATTATTTCGTTATTTCTTGAGATATATTTTAATTACTGTATTTCTTTTATTGACAATTCGTAAACTCATTCATAAACGTAGTCTTATTTTATAGTTACTATTTCTCAGGCTTTTTGTAATATTTTATAAATGCGGTACAGATAAGTGAAAAATTCGAAAATATTCACACAAAGCTAATTTTGAATTGATAGACTATAGATAGAAAGCAGATAGTCAACATCACCTACTGTCAACTCTTGTCTCACCGAGTAGTGGGATTTGACCGTCACCCTTATCACGCACACATAGCCTGAAAATGCTGAGCGCGATTTGTGTGTGTTGGTAATTAACGGGACGTGAAAGATGGACCAACAGATCCGTAGTCTAACTCGCTAATCACTGGGCCATACTCTGCCCAAAATCCAAAGAAGTAAGATAATTAATTGTAGATTATTTCAGAAAAAAATATCTAAAGTAGTATTAAAATGTACTAAAACCACAATGGCTATCTGTTTTTCTATTTAGCACAAAGCTATTCGAGAGCTATCTGTGCTAGCCATCCCTAATCTAACAATGATAGACTACAGGGAACACCATCCACCGCCACCTCTTAAGTTACCAACGAATAGTGGGACTGACCGTTATGTTATAACAGCCTCACGGCTGAAACAGCGAGCATTTTCGGTGACAAGGATTCAAGCCTGCCACCCGCAGATTGCAAGTCGATCGCCCTAATCTCCAGGCAATGTTAGGCATAAAAATACACTTGAGGGTAGTAATTGCGTTACATTTGAAACAGTGAGAAAAGAACAATACTAGTAAAATATGTGAAAAATAAATTAGCACTGCAGTAATATTTCACAACAGCAATAGAGTATAATAATTATGATTAATGATACTAAAGTAATAGAGTATACAGTAATTATAAAATATGCAAAAACATAGAACAACAAAGTAATCACCAGAATATCTGAAACTGGCGTAAGAACTGCAGGATCTTAGTAAACTTAGAGGAATGAGTGGATTTTAAAGTATTTTAAAGTTCGTACACTTGTATGATCTTATAAAGTCTATAATGATTATACGCTGCATTAACATGTTAAAAAAAACAATAAGTAAAAATTACTATAAAAATACACTTATCACAAAATATGTCAAATACGTACAAATTTAGAGTGACACAAAACACATCAAAAAATAGTGAAGTTGAAATGTTTGTAAATATACTAAAATGTAGAGGCATCCAATACTTTTAACATTTGTCAGAGTAATGATAAAAAATTTAAATTTAAAAATAAACAGCAAGAAGTACAGCAATAACAATGCATATCAACATATAAAACAGGGAACAATTAGAGAAAATATATAATTATTTTAAATAATACAAGAAATCTGGTAGAGTAAGTTCCAATTTACGTTCTCCAAATAACCGTAATTAGTCATATCCATGTTTCATCATCTTGGTATGTGACTGTTGGATACAAAACTTGCAAATATTGTTACATTAAAAAATACGTTACCTAACTGAAGGATACATTAATTATACCAGATCCATTTCGGCTCTCACCACGTTCACACGTATTGGATAGCATGCGTCTTTATTTGAGACCATTCTGAGCACCAACATTAACAGCATATTGGTCAGTGAGGAAGAAGGGTGCATTACAACATTATTGGAAAATGGGAATATTAATCTAGGTTTCGTTCTTCTTATAATAATAACAGTTATTTTCCTTACCATCTTAAGTTTTATTACTCTGTTCAAGAATGTATATGTGACTATTATGAGGACTGAAATGCCGGCTTGATTGAGCATTCATAGCTACTTGACTATTATGAAGACTGAAATGCCGGCTTGATTGAGCATTCATAGCTACTTGACTATTATGAGGACTGAAATGCCGGCTTGATTGAGCATTCATAGCTATTTCTAGGTCATGAGACCCACTTAAGTTCTAGTTTAATTTCATATGTGAGGTTTGTGAATATAAGTTAAACCTGATAACCCGTGTACAGCCTATATATACCTCTGTTACTAGGGTACATTATAATTATTCATTCGTTATTAAGTTTACCCTATACAGTTTCATTTGTTTCACTTTTATCTGCGACGCCTTTTGTTTTTGACTCGAATCGCTGATATTCCAGTTACGCCCTCTTTCTTCAGATGTTAAAATTAACATAACAATCGCGTCACTTTTTTAGCTACATATTTCAATTATGTTATAGAGTAATTTTGAGTGACCAAGTTCACCCACTTTAGCGTTAGCATAATCATTTAGTCAATATCAAAAACAGGTGTGACACGGGCTTACAACTTCTGATGTTAGAAAGATATTTTCATTAATGAGATTAAGATGGTGTGTTGATATCTGAACTGAAAACATATTCCATCTGAGGGATATGTATATTAGTTGTAAAGAATAGCACACGTTCCTTATCTAGAAATTTGTATCTCATTACAAGTTATAAAGGAACCCCAGTTGCTATCATTTACTTAATTCTACGCTTTCCTCTTAAACTTGATGCTCTCAAACCCCCCGGGGAATTGAACATTTAGGGAATCTTATTAGAAATAGTACGTGATGTAGATTATTTACAGTAATCCTATCAAAGGTATATACCTTCATAGTGCTTGAAACTTCGCAGGTATACTGAGCAATAACAAATGTCAATGGATTAGTTAGATATATTGTCAGACATAATCATATTCATCATACTTCATTAACTTGCCTATTTACAACGACATAACTTGTAATGAACGTCAAAGAAAACATTAAAAATAGGGAGTTGCCAAAAACACGGAGTTTAACGGCATGAAAACCGTAAATTTGTATTACCTCAGCTAATCTTTATTTCATATTATGCTATCCAGGTGTACTTGATTAGGTACATTTTAATTAAACCCCCTCAAAGCTCCCAAAATGATTTTACATTTTAAGTCATTTTATCAGTTTAGTTTCCAAATAAAACTTACGGTTGCTGCCTATGTCATGGACTGTAAGGAAAACTGCTTTGCTGTCCATTTTCTCTATGTCTCCCTAGAAAGAAAGAATACAAGAAGAACAATAATAAGATTTCTAAATCCTTCAGTCCTCAGTTTGTAGTTTCACCCAGCTATATAAACTGCATAAAGGAAGAAAGAAAAAAAAACACTCTCAGTTGTTATCCAGAAGATTTGTCAGTTTTACAAGTTAAGATTGTTCTGAATATCTACAAAACAAAAGTTCTATGTAGTTGCTACAGCTGAGCACTTTAATTGTTTAGTTGTTCTTCTATATGATCAACTGATGCACACCGTATAAAACATACATAAGTACAGCTACGGCTAGGTTGTGGTTTGAAACTTTATATTGATAAGTGATGGAAATGACTAAAAATATCGATTTCAGTCGAGTATTCGTTTTAAACGCCCCCCACTGGCACAGCGGTATGTCTGTGGATTTATAACGCTATAATCCGGGTTTCGATACCCGTGGTGGGCAGAGCACAGATAGGCTATTGTGTTGCTTTTTGCTTAACTTCAAACAAACAAGCAATCGTTTTAAATAGTCACCTGTGGCTAAGCAGTAAGTCTAAAGGGTTATAACGCTAACAACCGTGTTTCAATACCAATGGTGGACACAGCACAGATAGACCATTGTATAGCTTTGTGATTAACAAACAAACAAGTACTTGTTTACAAAATTAGGGAGAGCAGCGCATTATGAGGTTCTGTTTTTTTGTTTTTTTATGAACGTCTACGAACAAGATAGGAATTTGTATTCAGTTTTCATCCAGACAACAAATATCCAACAACATTTTCAGGACAGATTATACAGCTCTTTATTTTAGAATCAGAAAAAAATATTTCAATAGGAAACACAATTCAATTTTTTTCATGTTCGATTCTCTAACGATTATACAATATTAAGCATGGTTTTTGTAGTATGCAGCGTGTTCTAAACTCTCCAGATTCAAATATTAATGTACTAAAAACAGTAGGAGAGGCAATTAATTTTTCATTGTGAACAATGGTCTCTAAAAATTTAAGCTTAATCTAGTTGTTATAGGTTGTCATCCAAGGCTTTCAGTCCCAACGGGATGGCGGTAAATCCTCGTAGTTATATTTATCTCAAATCCACGAACTAGTCTTTTGGAAGAATTTCAGAAACTCACAAACATTGGGTAAAACACGCATTTTTGGTAGTGGTAAATATTCTAATTTAATTCGAAATCTAATTCAAAAAATTTTCCATTTACAATTATGAATATTAATTATACGAATTCATTTTAGAAGTTTATCTCGAAAACCTGTTGATAGTCATACAACATAAACAACAATGATGTCCAGATTATTAGGGTGCTACTTAGGCTTAGACAACAAGAACAACTATGATGTCTAGATTATTAGGGTGCTACTTAGGCATTGAGTTTCAGCTCTGCCACAGTTCAATATTGCTACAATCAATAAAAAATGCTGAACTAGCATAAGACTTATTTAATACTTCTACCAGTGTATCTTGAGTTCCGTTTGGTTCAATTATTGAAGTAACAAATAGTAAAGTGTTTTATAATCCATAGAAACAATTCTTTAACGCCTAATAAAACAACAAAAAACGTGTTTAATCACTTCACATGAATCACATAATAAATTAGACGTAATCTGAAATGAAGAAGCACAAACAGATTTCTAAATACTAGATTGCCGTGAATTTATCCAGGAATTTGTTTTGAAGTATGAAAGTAGAAATAAGAAGGCTGTTCACATATACCAATAGATTCAAATTATAAGTACCTATATTCATTAAGAGTTTATTCACAATTTACTCCATTTTTACAAGTTTATCAGATGGACTTTAGGAGAAGAAAAGGCTAGAAACTCATGTGCATTTAAAAAAATGTCCAAATTACCGCCTTTCCGTCAATAAAAAGCGTGCAAAATTATTAACCAGCAATACGTTCGACGAATTTGGCGGACTTAAACACCAGTGCCCTGTTTATAATGGTAAATGTCCAATAACATATCTTTAAAAACAAAACTTCGCTATTTTATCTGTGCGTTTTCAGAGAGGGTTGGGAGGACAGAAAAAAAGCGTAAAATGTTTTCGCTTGTGAAAATTGCGAATATTTCTGAATTTTTAAACTAAATTTCTGACAAAATTCTTACTTTTCATGCGAAATACAATAGATTTAGTTTTATTATAAGGTCTGTTAGGCTCTTGTTGGCGCAGCTATATTAAGACAAACCTTCTTCTAGAAGACATCATGCAAGCTGATTTACTAAACCGATACAATGGAAATTATGTGTGACTTTCTATATGAATGCGCTTCAGAAGTTCTTAAACTTCTCCAGCAAAGAGTAACATTTCCTTCTCATGAAAAATCTCAACTACAGCTCAAGATTGGCTTATTTGTATATGATCAAATAGGAGGAGTAACCACAGCTCAAGTCTGGTTTCTTTCTGTATGATCAAATATGAGGGGTAACTACAGCTCAATACTGGTTTCTTTCTGTATGATAAAATAGGAGGAGTAACTACAGCTCTAGACTGGTTTCTTTCTGTACGATCAAATATGAGGGGTAACTACAGCTCAATACTGGTTTCTTTCTGTATGATAAAATAGGAGGAGTAACTACAGCTCTAGACTGGTTTCTTTCTGTACGATCAAATATGAGGGGTAACTACAGCTCAATACTGGTTTCTTTCTCTACGCTAAAATAAGAGGAGTAACTACAGCATGACTGTTTTATTTCTCTACGATAAAATAGAAGGTGTAATATAACTCAAGACTGGTTTCTTTCTCTGCGATAAAATAGGAGGAGTAACTACAGCATGACTGGTTTATTTCTCTACGATAGGCCCGGCATGGCCAGGTGGTTAGTGCGCTTGACTCGTAATCTGCACGTCGCGGGTTCGAGTCCCCGTCACACCAAACATGCTCGCCCTTTCAGCCGTGGGGGCGTTATAATGTGACGGTCAATCCCACTATTCGTTGGTAAAAGAGTTTCCAAGAGTTGGCTGTGGGTGGTGATGACTAGCTGCCTTCCCTCTAGTCTTACACTGCTAAATTAGGGACGGCTAGCGCAGATAGCCCTCGTGTAGCTTTGTGCGAAATTCAAATAAACAAACCAAACAATTCTCTACGATAAAATAGGAGTAACTACAGCACGACTGGTTTATTTCTCTATGATAAAATAGGAGGTGTAATATAACTCAAGACTGGTTTCTTTCTGTACGATAAAATAGGAGGTGTAATATAACTCAAGACTGGTTTCTTTCTCTACGATAAAATAGGAGGTGTAATATAACTCAAGACTGGTTTCTTTCTCTACGATAAAATAGGAGGAGTGACTATAGCTCAAGACTGGTTTCTTTCTCTACGATAAAATAGGGGGTGTAGTATAACTCAAGACCGGTTTCTTTCTCTACGATAAAATAGGAGGTGTAATATAACGCAAGACCGGTTTCTTTCTTTACAATAAAATAGGAGGAGTAACTATAGCTCAAGACTGGTTTCTTTCTTGGCTAATCTCTTTCTTTATTTCCTTGAAAAACATTAGTTGGGGGACTATTCAATATCTTTTCAGCTTTTGTCCTATCAGAGGGATTGCGATCGTTAAAGATTCTGAACATGTGTCTTACTTTCTGGATTATCCCCAGAGAAAACACAATAGTGTTAGTTTTATAGTATAACACCAGCAAGCCCATAGCTTTTCTAGACACCTTAGTCCATGATAAGAACTGTAAGTAAATATGAAAGTACAGTGTGTCATATACATCGTTTTTAGTTTGATAGTTTATGCTGGTACACCTTGACATATTTGAGTAAGATCTTGATACGCCATGTATACGAAATGACAAGCACACAGTTGTTTACCTCAGAAACTCAGTGAAAAATCATTTCTGGTATGAATCGTTTTCTTACTTATATGACACATAATCATTATATATTACTACCTCAATAAGCATCATTTTATAATACAACTAAAACGTACAATTATTAAACAGCTTATATCAATAATATTATTTAAAATATTGAATTGTTGAAGTTCATTTTACTGAGTTTACCCTTGTGTGCCTTTAAGATTCATTTTTAAACATGGACATAGTTCACAGTATGTCTTAGGTAGAAGAACTGAATAGTGATACTCAAAACTTCTAACGTTCTTTATCAGTTTACAAGTCTTTACTGTTGTTTCCAACCCTTCAGTGGCTCAGCGGTAAGTCTGCAGACTTACAACACTAACAACACACACAAGATATCGCGGGTGTTGGTATCCATGGTGGGCACAGCACAGATAGTCCACTGTGTAGCTTTGTGCTTAACTACAAACAAACAAATTTCCACCCCAAAGAGGCTCCGGATATAAATAAGAGAACATGCATATTTCAAGACGGCAGCCAAGTCAAATGTGTTAAACAAAACTACTAAGGTTAATGTGACGTAATCGTTTATGCAACATATTTAAAATATTAACTAATGTAATGATGGCGCAGTCTCCGTATACATGAGATTCTGCTTATAAAGAGACTGAGGCCACAACTCACTCCATATAAAAAAGTTACTTATAAACAGACTGAAGCCACAACTCACTCCATATAAAAAAGTTACTTATAAACAGACTGAAGCCACAATTCACTCGGTATAAAAAGTCACATATAAACAGACTGAGGCCACAATTCATTCCGCATAAAAGTCACTTATAAACAGACTAAGGAAACAACTCACTTCGTATACAAGAGAGTCTGCTTATCAACAGTCTGAGGCCACAATTAACTCCAGATAAAAAAGTTAATTATAAACATAATGAGGCCACAACTCGCTCCACATAAAAAGTTACTTATAAACAGACTGAAGCCACAATTCACTACATATAAAAAGTCACTTGTCGTCACACTGAGACCACAACCCAATTAAGTTCACTCAACTGTGAGTTCAATGCTTAAAGTATGAAAATAGTTTGTCGTCGTTTTTTTCTTTTTCTGAACGAAGAAAGAACAAAATGTTTAGGAGTGTAGAACAGAATGCATTTAATGCACAGAAGCCAGCAGATATT